CCCATGAGTCTGACCACTTTTGATACAATCATGACGATACATACAGGCGCCTGGATAGTTTACTATGCTGATCCGGAATTCTAATTGTAGGAGAAGTATGAGTGATTGCACCCCGTAGATCTCGACTGAGAGAAGAAAGAGGACTCACTCGAGGTGTGGGGTAGAACTTCGCCGGTTTAATTCATAGGCCGCGGAATCCTTACTACCAAATTGTTTCAAAAAAAGTTTGAACATTTCTCAATTGAAACGAAAAATTGCACGTTATATGACCTACATAGAGGTTGGCACCGCGACGGTGAAAGCTAGGAAAGAACGAAGATTGGGATCAAAAAGTTTGAGTTGAGAATCGAGATTATAAAAGATGAGCTTGCGATCAGTGTAAAAAAGTGATCTACACACCTGCCATAAGAGCGAACACGAAAGTGAGGGAAAGATGAACCATTATTTGAGCCAGAGGCTGATTCTCGATGTGATCACACTTGGGTTTACAAGCAACACCCAAATCGAAACGAAACGCACCGAAATATCGGGTTATTTTATTTCGTTGCGAAGGTACCGAAACGCAATCAAGCGAAATCGCAGTTTGAACCGAAACGCTTGAAGTCCCCAAAGGGTTTCGGTGCGTTAGATAAACCGCAATTCGAAACGAAATCGAACCGAAACCGCAATTTATTTCGGTTTTTGCAGGTACAAATAGGATACAAAGATTGGAGAGGAGGAGACACATATATTAGGAGTTGAAGTTTTAGCTTTGAGATAATCAAAGAAGTATACTATATTCAATAGATCAGGTGATTCAAGTTTTTTGAGCTGAACGAAGAAAGAAAATGAAGAAATCACATTTGTTGAAAGAACTACAACTAGAAAACATGTGAGAGTCAAGTCTTCTTGAGCCACTTTGACTGTAATCTTCTGGTAATGATGGACAATGTAAGGGAAGAGACGTGACAATAACTATCAGCAGCGAACAATAGCTTTTCTGATCATGCACGATAGCTTGTCTGATCGTTCTTCCCTTTACAGGGTATGATGACGCTATAAAAATGATGCTGTCACCCAAAAATGTTGATTACACACCTCATCAGCGAAATGTGAAACTTTATAGACGCTCAAAGTTGGAGCAAGCTCAAGAAAAGTTGTGAGAGTGGGTTTAAGAGAACACTTGAACCTGTTCAAGACGGACAAAAGGAACTGGACGTGAGGAAACAACTTTTGGACGATGTCAATAAAAAGTTCAGATGAGGAAAAGAATGCACAACAGTTCGAAAAGGAAGAGAACTACTGATAGGTGAAAACCTCCTCTCACTTCTCTTTTCACATGTAGTGGACTGGGAAACACCTTGCCTTCACCTTTAACAAACTCGCAACCAACCGCAGCATATTTCGGTTCGTTGCGAGTTGCGGTTCATCAAATCTGGTTTCGGTTCGGTTGAACCGAAATCACGATTTTGCTCATCTTATTTCGGTGCGGGAGGACCGCAATCACATTTCGTTTCGTTTAAACATCTAAATCGCACCGAAATCGCACCGAAACTGAAATATGTTGCGGTGCGATTTGGGTGTTGTTACAAGGAGGGGGAAACTGGAGAGCTGAAGATCAAATATTTGAGAGCGTTCGAAGGGTTGCGGAAGTTGCGAGCGCCGCTCTCATGTAAACTCATCAAAGACGGGGCGTGGGACTTTGATGAGTTTAGCTCTCATGACTCATGAGAGTGGAGTACCTTCCCACCCTGCGACGCATCAACTGGAGTAAAAATTCGTCATTTAAGTATCCGTCTATCCCACAGCACTAAGCTTAACAATGTCGCACGCTCGCCCCTTGCGAGCTGTCCCGAGTGCTTGGCCGCGAGGGAAAATAGGGGACAATTGTGGCGAATAAGATATCAGAGAAAACGCAGGATGAGTATGAAAGATAAGCTTTGGATTCCACAATAATGTTGTACAGTAGACTTCGATATATCCGATATGTTCAAACCCGATATGTACTAGGGTCATCCCTCAGTTTTCAGGGCCATCCCTAAGTTTTCATAACACTCAATTTGTTGTGAATGGTCAAAATTACTGTGCTAGCATTACCACATTGACCTAAAGGAGGGAGATAATATTGATGTTTTGTAAGCATCTTTGTTCCTCCTATATAATCAAAACACAAAACAGTCGAATGACCTCAATGTGAGATGAGACAGAAATTCAATGATGAAAAGATAATCAGGCTCACAAACATGATCTCCAAAACAATTCTTCAACCATTGTGTTTTATAACTGGTGAGATGACCTTTTGAACTGTGATAATTTATAAACCAAAGGACCAAGAGGTACAATCTATAAAAAACAAACCAAATCAAAAACTCAGGCACGATCCAAACAATCTTGAATCAGTATTTTCACTTGTATCCTATCAACTGAGAAATCATCACGGGCTACTACTAGATCATCATATCTGATGATAGCAACCATATTGAAGGTCCTAGGCATACCAGAATGATGAGAGTGATGTCTAAATATGAAAGTCAAACAAAAAAATGTTTTGATCAGATCAGTATGTTATTCTAATTGATATGTTGAACATTTATTCTGATCAAGCTCTTACACAAGGTTACAAGCTCCCAAATCAATACCAGCAAGTGCAACAATTTCCATGGATCCCTTCCAAATGAATGATGAACACAAAAAATTAACCAAGATGGGATGATTCACAAACTACCATCACCAGCCTGTGGGGCTCACACTTATTTTTTGTTTAAAAGAATTTCCCTGTGCTACTTATTTGTGCTTGTACCAATGGCTCCAGGCGGATAGCTGAACTATCAGACTAGCATTTCAAGTTTGGGATGATGATACATGGATATGTTGAAGTGGATGGTTAGAAAGATTAAAAATTGAGGCAGAAGGGCAAATGATGGGGGGATGTGTTGCAGCTTGCTTGTATATGTGCAGACACATTGTGATTGGAGTGACGTATGTGGACAAGGGCAAGATTGTTTAAAAAACAATATGTCATCCCCAAATGTAAGGCTGTACATGCTTTCACTCTCACAATGAGAGTGCCTCTCTGCTACCACAGCCCTTCAAGACTTCTGAAAGGTTTCTTCACACTGGGGAAAAATATCTGTTACATTTCAAGATGTGAGTCATCATCTCATTACTCTTGGTCTACTTTTTTACAGCCACATTGGTGGGTTTTGCCTGAAGTGTTCTATATTGCCTACAGATTAGGGGTTGGTGAGAACTTTCACAGTGCACATACAGCCACACTCAGTGTGGAATCTGGATGAATGTGCAATCTGTGACTCTGATCAACAGTCTCACATAATGATGTGTCAAGATTGGCTCCACAGTGTAACTTCTAAGGGCATAAAAACATACTGTACTAGAAAAGTTTTAAGCTGATAAACTGTTGCAAGGCACAAAATTGGGCTAGCTTCAGACACATATGAGCTAGTCCCAGCTCTGAGGAATGTAATTGTAAGAAGTAGAAACCAAGCACAAGAAAAATAAAATACATAGCACAAAAGGAAAATTTATACAGTATGTGCAAGGTGTTGGGAGGTAGCTATGCAGTAGTGAATCAAAGGTTAAGCATTGTCAAAGATGCAGCAGAATCTGTCTATACCAGATGGCCATTGCTTGGGACTACACTCTTAGGCACCAAGATGATGTCCCTGCTGCTCATTAAATACATCTCTTGAGAAGGAGGAGTGTTTATAGAGAATGCTATGCTCCATCTAGGTGGTTGCTTTCCCCTACCCCACCACAAGATGTTGGAAGGTCTTCAGCTGACTTTAGGTAACATCAATTATACATACCAGAGCTAGATGAATTTACAACAACAGTTTCATTTCCTAAATCACAAATTCAAGTTGAAATTTTCAGACGCTTGTTGAGAGATGAACCACCCTCGATCATTAGACATAAATCAAAGTTTTGAATCTGTTGGAATTAAAACTACATTCAAAGGTGTGAAAGCTCTTATTACCAACTAACCAGGTGTTCCTCTGGTCCCGGTATTCATTGGTCAAGAAGGATATCCATAGAGTAGTACTAGACTCTGTCTCATTTACAAATCATGCAAGACAGAAATTGACATGTCTTTGAGTCTTGTAGTGTCCCAAGGGCTTGCAATAACCCATGACAATGATTGGGGATGCTTGAATCCTCTGGATATTTTCAAGGAATGTCAAGAATTTTGCAATCTTGCACATAAAAATTCTGTCAGTCTCAGTCTTGCAGAGCCATTGGGACCAGTCAAAGATGATCCCAAGAGAGGAATTCTTTAGGTTCATGTGGTAGTTTGCCTATAATTGCCAAAAACTCTCAAAGATTGAGCAGAATTACTCTTGCATTTGGGATTTGTAAAACTTCTGCCCCAAGATACATTTAGTCATTCACCAATCAGGCCCTCAAGAATGCCACTGAACATGTTTCCTTATACATATCCCACCTGCCACCTTTCCACAGTACCTTTACAGAAAACACAACCTAAACTTCAAAGAATCAAACATACCACTACAAGAAGCAATCCTTCTTTATCAGTATACACTCATAAACAGGGTCGAATAAGATACCAGCAAAGTTCACTAGAAGAGAACTTCAGCAGAAGACATGACACAGAAAAACAAATGTCTATGGAGAGCTTAAACATTAAGAAAAACAAAAACAAAAATGCAGACCAATCTTTTCAAAATCACAGATCCATTTGAACAAAAAATAATCTATATCTATATGTCTCTATCAACAAAGATCAAAACATGAAGCAAAAGAACATCCAACGAGAGAAACGAAATTGCGCTATACATACCTACCATGCAGGTTAAACAAAATCAACAGTCCAAACAAAATGAAAAAAGTCGAAGAGAAGCAAGAGAATAGATAACCAAACAGACAAAGAATAAGGGAAGAGAAAATCAGTGCGGTGTTCAAAAAACAGAAATAACCAAAAAAAAATCTATCATTCAAAGAGAAAAATCAATATATGTGAGAGTAGAAAAAGAAGAGTATGGTTAGTTAGAAGAAGAAGGAGAAGAAGTTTGAAGCAAAGTCATATATTCTTGACAATCTGGCCATTCTGTTTGATGATTATCACCTAGAACGATTCTTCTAAGTTGGTGAAGTAAAAGTTCAGCAAAAACTGATGATCATACGCCCCAATCAAAATTCAAAATCAATTTCAACAAACAGAAAAATTCAAAAGAAAGAGAACTTACACCATTGAGCTTTACCCGGATTAAAATGAACCAAATCTTTCAATTCGAATAGAAGTTCATGAGTTACCGAGCTCCAATCCAGAACCCCGATTTGTTTAGAACCAGAGACAGAATTAAGTTTATGAATAAGTTTTAAATGAAATGTATCAAATTGAATGATTCGTTTTGTACTCATCGCATTGGAATTCGCATTTTTGGATGAATATGGCATCGTTCTATAAACCAATTTCGTTTTTTTATTCGGAAAGATCGATTGTAAAACTCTAATAAATTTCATAAACCTTTCTTCATGTTCTAATAACTCTTGGTTTGTTAATCTTTCTCCTATTCTAGGTTTAGATAAAGTTGAATTATGTTTTGAATTATATACTGATGCTTCTGATCTATAAACTAAATCCCATAATCCAGAATTAAATAAAACTAAATCAGGTGTTTTGGTTAATTCGGTTCCTAATAAAGGTAAGTAAAATTTTCGAATTCTAGATTCGAATTCTTGTGGTTCATCTTCATCTGGATGAAAAAATTCTTGTGGACTTTCTATATCGATTCCCATTAAAAACCAATTAGATATAACAAAGTTTAAATTCAAATGTTTTCCAATCCCAATTCTATGAGAAGCAGTTTGAGGTTCTATAAATTTAGGATCAGTTTGGTTGGTTAAAAATCGATGATTAGAAACTTTTGAATTCATTAAAACATCATTGAAAATAAAATGAACTACATTTCTATCTAATGAGTCTCCAATTAAGATTATAGTTTTATCTTTTAACCATTTATGTTCAATTCCATTTAACAAATCTGATAATAACGATTTGATTTTAAAGTTTTGTCCTACTTGTTTTCCTTCATTTCTTCCTCTTCTTCTAGGTTGTGGATTCTTGACTATCCATTGTGCTTCATATTTCGATTTCGTTTGGGGTGGTTGTGGGGTTTCTACTTGTCCAGGTAGTTGATATGGATTATAACAATACTCTGGTAGATTTCTGGATCGAATGATTGACCATCTGTGAAATCAAGGAAGTCAGTTAGTTATCTCTGAAAGGAAATGGTTTGAATAGAAATAGAATGAATTGACCTTTGTGGTAATGATAGATCAGAATGATGAGAATCAATGAAAACGTAAATAAATAAAGATAAACTAATAATTGAAATAAGCAATCTAGTTGGGCGGAGTAGAAGTAATCTGATTTTATTGGTAAGAGTATTAGAAATTGATTTGAATGAGAGGTCTGATTGGTGATTTGATTTTGAAGGTGAGGTAGGTAATTGAATAGGTTGGTTTTGGTTCGATGTTGTTGTTGTCCAGTTTCTAATCGTTGTCATTCTCGTTCTATTTTCTTGATAGCTTCTTATCGTTTTCCTTTTATGGAAATTGGTTCATCGAGCAAAACTAGACCTTGTCTGTGAATTGTGATCAACGCCCGAACCAATCCGAGACGGATGTTGGTATCGTGTTGGTATCGCGTCGCCAACCCGACACCAAATGTCGGATTTTGCCCGTATGGGTTGAGCCAACCCGATATGGAGCCTGGGTTTTTTCCATATCGGGTATCGCCAACACGATACAGGGGTTGGACCGACATTATGTAGGTGATGTCGCCTCCTGGACCCCATCCTTGGCCAGCCCATACCCAAGTCTACAAATCTCCCTGCGTTATCTCAGATCACCCCATCCAACACCAACCATCGGTCGACAGCGCCAGTATCGTGACTTAAGTCGACTCACGATGCTTCCGAATCCCAGGTGGTGGCTCAATCACCCGATGAAACTGTCATATCATCACATTCGACATCACTCAGAATTAGATCCAGCATCGGCTTGTCAGATTTATCTGATTTCAGTTAACCACAGCCAAATTCACAGCTATTCGTTTATCATCTCTAATTTCACTATTAATGCACCATTCATGTGGAAAAATGCAGCATCAATGCAGTAAAATGCAGTGTTAATGCACACACAAAATGAATTCAGAATTCTACCTTTTTCAATTTTGTTTGTCCTTCAGGTCAATCATTTTTCACTTGGGAAAGATCATCACAGTCGACATCACTCAGAATTAGATCCAGCATCGGCTTGTCAGATTTATCTGATTTCAGTTAACCACAGCCAAATTCACAGCTATTCGTTTATCATCTCTAATTTCCAGCGTTCCTTCGTTTCCCTCCTAATCCTACTTTGGCTAAACAATCTCAAAGTTATTGACCCGGTCCCCATCTTCGCTTCAACCATCGATTCCTCCAATCAAAATAATCCAATGGCATCCACAAATTCAGCCTCCACCCAATCACAACCTTCTCCATCTGAGCCTGTTGTCGTCGATGAATCTGGATTGGGATCGACTCTTCCCAATCCCAGTACGCAGAAGCGTAAACGAGGACCTTCCAAGCAGTCTAGCACGCAGACGAAACGCAGAGCAGTTCAAAGTGTATGTTTGAAATCATTTGTTATCGTTATCGTAAATCTCATGCTTTTACTTAAATTTTTCTTTTTATGTACAATACCAGAAATCGAAAAACGAGGTTGTTCCTGAAGGCCTAGACATAGACCGGGACTCTGATATCGAGATCACGGGAGAGACTTGGTCTGTACACAAACCTGAGCCGCGTACCAACCGTGTACGTGAGCTCCTCAAGTATTACGCCGAACCAACTGAATGCCCAGACGAAGTAAGTCCGGCAATTTGTCATCATTCTTCTTTCTGAACCAAATTAACATTCATAAATGGTACATCAGATAGGCAGCGGGGTATTACAATATTATAAGTGTCGCTTTTGTGCCAAATCTTTTGCCAAACCCCCGAATACGTATCAAACTTTGTATGATCATCGCGATGGAGCCGAAACCCGACCAGTTTGTTCAAAACGACATGTTGCCATCAAGAAAGGATTCAAGCTCGATCCATCTTGGTCTGAGCAACAGAAGGCTCAACAGGACTCCAGCAACACCTTAGATTGCTTTGTGGTCAAGCAGCCTTTTGGAGTCAAAAACCTGAACCTCATGCTTGTCATTTGGGTTCTCCGTCATGCGCTTCCCTGGGCAAGATTCGAGGACACTATTCTTCGTGCTGCCATCTGGTTTTCAAACCCACTCGCGACAATCTACTCTGCAACCTGGGCAGCCCAAGCTGCTCAGCGCTTATACATGGGACTACAAAAAAACCTGTTGAGCTGTATCATCGTACGTTGGTTCTTTTCATTTAACTGTTTCTTCTCTTTCTGTTCCATCGTTCCTGGTTTCGGAATCTATATACTACAGGACAATGGCAGTGCGTTTTGTCTCATGCACGATGGGTGGACAACCAAGGGACGGCGTCATGCATTCATCGGAGCCAGTGTATCATACGTTGATAACAATTGGAAATACCAGGTCCGACACCTCACCCTCAAACTAGTGACATGGAACCACTATGGAGTTCTGCTTGCTCGTCCACTGGCTCGGTTCCTTGTTCGACACGGCCTACACAAAAAAATAAGTGGCTTTCCCTCTTTTCATTTATTTCTTTCTGGTGATTATGTCTTAATACTTATTTTTTTAACTTTATCCACATGCTTGCGCAGACAACGGATTCTGGAGCTAATAACAATACCATGGCGACCGAAATGTCGCGTATTTTTAAAGACAGTGATGATCCTGTGGACTGGAATGCGAAGGCCAACCATGTGCGGTGCTACGCACACAAGCTTGCGCTTGTAGTCAAAGCCGGTCTGAGGAGTATCGACATAGATCCAGGACATACAAAGCCCACTACCACTCCTGGACGCGAAATTCCAGTCCCGTCGTTGGCACTTGATGACTCGGCCAACTTTCCTGACGGCCCTACCAATACCGAAGTGGCCGATCACCTAGAAGACGGTGAAGACATCGGCGGGGATTGTGATGGCGACACCGATTCTGAGCCCGAATTCGAAGCCAACTCTGGCATTCAGACCAGTCGATGGAAACCTGATTTAGTTGTACAAGGAATCAACAAAGTACGTATCTTGTGATATATATATCTTTGCAATTATACACAAAAAGCTCATTTACTATTTTATCCATTTATAGGTTGATCTTTTCGCACGTCGGGTATGTTCAAGTGCTGCGCTGCGAGCTCTTTTCAAAGCCCGAAGGGAAGGTCAAGGTTCAATCACCGCAGGGTACGGGATCCGTTGGAACGCTGCTGTCCAGTCTCGCCAAAAGGTTTGTGACGCACAGGAGGTATGTGAATTACTGAATTCAATCATAAACTAAATCTTTTAGTTCTTCTGACCAATATTTATATCTTTATTTTTTGCAGACCGTGACTCAGATGCTCGGAAGTGCAGATAGTCATCTGTTTGATGAGATGACTATCACCCAGAGCGAATGGGCTGCTGTAAGGGCTGCCAATGGTGTTCTCGAAGTAAGTAGTCACGACCTCAATTACCTTACAATTTGTTCTCTCTCTTAATGATATCTTTCATGTTTGCAGATCTTTCTCTCATCTACTCTCATGATGGAGGGAGACAGTCCGACTGGAGCTCGTGTCCTTTCTGAGTATCGTCGAATGGAGCGAGTGTTACAGAAGATGGAAGAAGAAACCCAATATCGAAGCTTACACAAGATGATTGGCGTGATGCTCAAGAAGCTTGCAGTGTATCATAAGGAGGCTCTTGGCTGTGACACTCTTGTCATGGCTACAGTTCTGAATCCAAGCAAGCGTTTGAAGTTTTTCGAGCAATATTACCCTTTTGAGGTCCCTCGAATTCGAGCGATGTTGGACAAAGCCTTTCAAGAACGAATTGTATCATCCAATACTGAAATTGAAATCACTCAGTCTTCAGTGACAGCAACGTCACAGAATGCAGATCAAACTATCAACGATGCAGATGACGACAATCTATTTGGACCTTCGGACGCAACTGAATCAATCAATCTCTCGGATGAACTAGAGCTGTATCTCGGCGCAAAATATCCCTATAAGGACGGGTGTATCCTAAAGTGGTGGCAGGTGAGTGTTTCATTTTATTCTAGTTGGCTCTCTTCTAGTCACTTAAGCATGGGTGATTGGTCGTGATAGGAGAACGAGAAGTGGTTCCCGTTAGTTGCAGCACTTGCAAAAGATTATCTTGCTTGCTCCGGTACGACATGTCCCGTTGAAAGGACGTTTTCATCGGCAGCCGATGTCTGCCAGCCGGATCGTGGTGGCCTTAACTCAAGTACGATGGAAAGGGCTGTAGGCTGTCGGGAGTGGATCAAAGCGGGGGTGCCTCCACCAGAAGAGTTTGGTGAAGCAGCCGAATTAATTGAAAAATACTTGACGAGACAAGGCAGTAACAAGAAGAATTAAGATCACAAGTTGTAAATACTAATCATATTTAAGTGATTGTATTACAATACAAAAAAAAATCTATTATCAATTAAAAATTTTTGTTAACCTATTTTTTGCCGCCATATTGTATCGGCTCGTATCGCTTTAGCGATGCGAGCCGAGTTACCTGAGAAAAAAAAATTGCATGTCGTATCGGGAGTGGGTTCACATATATTGGTGTCCCAATACGACATGAAAAGGCTCTGATATGTCGTATCGGGTCAGATTGGTTCGGGCGTTGTTGTGATGCTTTCAAGAATTTACCGGATATCCAAGAGGGCACCTTACTGACCCGGTCATCGGAGCTCTCTGCAATCGGGTTTTGCACCCAAGTTAACCCAATGAGAGATTGTCACTGATCAATACTAGTGTTCAAGTTTGTAGTCAACAGCTTTTGAAAGGTGAAAGCCAAAGAGTGGGTATTTCAAAATGTTCAGTAACAAAATGATACAAGTTTACAAAAAAAAGTCAAAGAAACACAAAATATGAGATACATATACAATTCTGATGAATGACTTTTTGGTGAGTACAAAGTTCAGAAAAAAAGAGTGACAAAGTAGAAAATCATGAAATGAAGAAGCAGAAAAGAAAGGTTTTATTGTAAAACTTGAGCCGAAGGTTTACCTTTAGTACTATCACCCATGATATTTTCAATATAATATTGAATTCCTTCTTTTCTAAAGTTATCTGCTACAATCTTTCCATTCTCAGTATCCGAGAATTCCATCAATTGAGCATTAGTTCCATATTTTGGCCATTGAACTTTGGTTCCTTTTGGATTAGGATCATTGGTGTAAAGAAAATTCAAGTAACGAGTTTGGATATCTGTACTTCTTCCTGCACTTGGGGCTCGTAAGGCGCTTACTGTGTTGACACCTGAGTATGAACCTACAGAGAGAGTTATAAACACCATCTTCAATACATCTTTCAGAGTTGATGATTTGTGAAACCTACCAAGGTATTGGGTGTCTTTTAATCCACGGTCAATGAACCCATACACCGGAACAGAAGCCTGCACAGATTGTGAGAAGAATCTTCGAAGACCCTAATTGATGAACCATAATTCAGGTGTCAGGATTGAAATCGAGTTATACTAGGTAAGATTGAACTTGTTCTTACTTGGAAAGTGATATCACCAAACAGAGCTGCCATTTGCTTTGAGACAGGGTTCAATTGGTTTTTTAAACCGGTATTGAAAGGAGAACCTTGAGCTGGATCAGAAGGATAAAGTTTCAAAAGGTCCATGATCTCATGTGGTGAGGCACCAGGTAGAAGTTGTTTCAACCCTGAAAAATCATCGCAAAAGGACCAAAACGTTCAACTTTTTCATGTTAAAGTTTCAAAAGGTAATTCAATCAAAGACTTACAAGGTGTAACACCAGTGTCATTAAAGATATGAGCATCTTCAACTAACGTGTCTACAGTTCCAGAATCATCAGAAGATCCTAAGATTATGGGAACCTTGGCCACTGAACACAAAAACGAAAAGATCAGAAACGAGTAACAGAAATGGAAAAAATCAGGTTGAATTAGTTTACCTTTTCCTGCTTTTGCTAAATCTTGAATAGATCCAGTAAGGAACTTTCCATCTACGTAAGTGTGGAATGGTAAAGGATATCGAAGTCTAGAATAGATTCCAGGGAAAGTATTGGCTGCAGCACTGGTTATGAAAAGAAATTCATTGTGTTGGAATATCAGTAAGCTGTGTTGGTACAAGTGATTTGATTAAACTTACACCAATTTTTCAGCCTTGGCTTCACGTAAACAAGCGAGTGATCCTGCTCCAACTGGGCACCCAGCTGCTTTGACAAATTTGTCATAGATCGCCTGACCTGCTACCATTTCTAATAAATGGTTAATTGAAAATGATGTGTTTGGTTAATTCCAAGCACATTTCAGGATTGACATGATCATGGATGACTTACTAGGACTGGGCAGAGCAACAGCTCCTCCAAGGATGGCACTTTGGAATAATCCTTTGCTGTCACCGTCGTAAGCCACCAATTGGTGAGAGACAGCCATGGCTCCCACTAAGATGCGATTTTCAAGAGAGTGAAAAGAATGTTTTCAATGTGAGTGAATTCGAGTGATGCTGATCAACGAAGGAGATATTGACGCACAGTTGGATCCATATAGAGTGACCCGTTTAGGATCGCCTCCAAAGTTGGCGATATGTTTCTGTTAAATAGGAAAAGTTGAGTTTATTCTTGTATGAACTGAGGTTTATTACAGATTCTTGATGTTTTAATGAGAGTCTGTACCTGAACCCATTCCATGGCCAATCTTTGATCTTTCAAACCAAGATTACCGGCGTCAGCGGCAGCCATTTCTTTGCCGCCCAAAAACCCGAAAGCCTTGATATTTGAAAACCAATTAGGATGTTTCTCATCGGACTCGAGAAAAGTTTTCTTACACTTGATCTCCAGTTGGCTGATACCCAGATGAATGGTTTTCCAGTCATTTTTCCGCGTGCCATCAAACCTGCTGGGTTTACACTTCCAGAAGCGGTTTGAGCTGAGGGATCGAGGGCACGATCAGCCCACTTGTCAAGTGATAAAACAGCTTGAAGTAACTCACAGATCCAAAATATAACGGGCAACTTCTGGTCCTTAGGTATCCCAGAAGGCCTAGTCACCTGTTAAGATCCAACCGGATTAGTGAACAGGTCTACAGATGTTCAAAAAGGTTGATGCTTACGTCTAATGTCAAACAGTCTTCTTGACCCACTCTGGTTTGGGTGGCGGTTTGTGCGCCTGATGGAAGAGTCTTTAAGACGGCTAAGATGGTTGCGTTGAAGGAAGATGGATCCGATCCAGCCAGGGGATCAGTGGCAAGACATCCGGGTGATATTTTCTGACATTGAGAGTAATGCGTAGAAGTTAGATATTGGATCTTTTTGAAAAGAAAGTGAAGGATCTCTGGACTAACAGTGGCATCAAAGTTTGGATATTTCTTGGTAGGAGCAACAGGAGACGCGAAACGTCTGGCACCGAGAGGTGGTTCCGCCTGAATGAAACGAAATTAGCATTGTCATCAGGAAGCCTTTGGTGAGTTTCGTTACTTTGCTTACATAGGGAATCGAAGTCCAACTGTCGATTCCACCTTGTGTTTTTCCATTGAAGTCACCATAATCTAAGATGACGTGTGTTGCTCCTTTGTCGCCGGCCGCAGTGCCTGCAGCTGCTGGTAATGGTGCCGCTACTGCAGCTTCCGCGCCTGAAGTTCGCAACAACAACTGACATACAGCAATGATGACAGGTGAGATAAACATAGCTATGAAAACAAGGATAAGAAGTAAGAGGTTAACAGAAGTATGAACAAGTGATTGAGGAGGAAACGACTTTGTATGAGAGACTGATGGGATTTCTCACCGGTTTTGCTTTGGGGTATTTAAGCATTTTTCAATATCGCTCTTTGAGCTGCGTTGTAGGAGAAGATTGCTTCGATCCGAATATTCTTGTTGACCGTGGCGTTGCAGAGCTTTGTAAACAGGGTACTGTGGCTGTTTGGTTGGAGACATCGGGACTTTGTCAAGTTTTGAAGTATCGTCATTTTTTCTCGGGTCCACTGATTTGCACACAGTCTATCGCTGGTAAGGGTTCTACAGGGTTCTACTTCCTTTCAGTGGGAAACATCATCCCAATCTAGCATACTTTATGGTTTGCCTGTGTCCATCAATAACTCCGAAGACTGGCTGTTGCATTTTTTTATCTTGTTGCTTAAAGTCCCTTATGGAACTGCACAGCTATCAGGAACTGGTGTTATTAGTATGTACAATACGCTCCCAGACCCGCTCCCTTGGTGTAATTGGCGAAAATGACGTACTTGACTTTTCCAATCTACAGACCAATCATGGGGCACATATCTGTGATTGTTGGTTTACGGCTCGGTGTGAGGGGGTGGGTGATGTCATCAGGTTAGGCGTGCAAGGGAAGTATGTATCAGTCTTGCCCCTCACAGGATCGCCTGATTGGAACTTGTTGTTCACACCGAGTGGCTTTTGAACCTTCAAGTCTTATTGCTGTAGAATGATTGGATTGTAGCTTTCCCTGAACACCTCAGAGTCGTTGACGGTGTTAAATTCTTCGTATTGGAATGGGGCGGAGTGAATTGATTTGGAAATTGAAATGTAGACCCCGAAGATGGGACTTGAATCCTTGATATTAGTATTTAGTGTGACAAATGATTAGCAAAAGGGATTGGCGTTCAATATTACCGATCCAAGAAGGTCAAGGCCGACATGTCTCTTCATTTAAAAGATTTTGAAGTCTTCTAAACCATATCACCTCTGAAAATATCCTAGACTCCAATCATGGTAGAGTTGGATGGATTCCTCGTCTTTTGAGTTGGGCTCATCACCATCTTTTGGTAGAGTGTTCCCTCCGATCTGTGGTAGGGTTATCCCCACAAGAAGAAATCCATTACCCAAATCTGAGACACATCACTTTTAGCTCTTTTAGCGCCAAATCAAAGAGCCGTACACCCCCAGATCTTGAATTATGGGAGATTTCAGGAGAGTTCAAAACAAGATCACCGATTGGAAATAATCATGTACTGTCTCCTCAATATCAAGATAGGGATAGGTGTCTCACTTCACAATCTTAGCATGAAGTTAGACCTAGTTAGACCTTACATTATGCCTAGCAGCTTGTAGAATAGAATTCCCCCATGAGAATTCGAGGTCTCAGTATGACAAGGGTAGAGTGGTGTCTAGCAATACAACTTGACATGAAAGCTATCACCAAAATATTTTTGGTGTAAAACCTTCCGCGACTTTATCTTTTCATCAAAGCATCTTCTAATGTTTTCATCTTTGCTGCAGAAGTCAATCATTTTCATTCTCTTTTATCGCTCTTTTACAAACTGTAGGAGTATCTCAAAACGAGAATTAAAAGGTTTGTGTTCATTTCTTTTTTCCTTTTCAAATCCCAAATGATCACTATGATATCAATACTAAACCAAATCTGAATCAATTTTAATGTCGAATTTTCTTAATTCAAGGTCCTAAATCTTTCTTGGGATACGTTTGGACTTTTCAAGGAAATAAAAAAAATAATGCCTATGACGTCGATTTCACTATGCTAGAAACAGTTCCTCTTCAAGATCTTCGTACTATGAATGAAATCCCAGATTTAAAAACTGATGGATTCACTTGGGTTTCAAAAAGACACGTTGAAGGAATTGAAAATCTAAAAGAATTCTCTAATGAACATAACACTGCTTTGACAGATGATTCGGTTAAACTTGTGAAAGATTTGTAAGGGATTTTTGAAATTATTCATCAAAAAAAGGAAACTATATAAAAAAGGATCTGACTGAATTTAAATTTTATCATTTTCTTAGAACAGGAGCAAAATCAGTACTTGCCTATTCATCTACTTTTAGACATTACGAATCAGAAAAAGCTAAAAAGCCAATTTCAGTCATTCATTCAGATATGTCAGCCAAAGGAGCAAAATATACTAAAAAAGAAATCAAAAAAAGATTTTTAACTTCAGAGAATCCAATGGAAGTTGAACTTGGAAATTTATTGAAGAAAGGTCAAAATAATGTGATGTTACTAAATGTTTGGAGGCCTCTTCGAGTTGTTCAAGATAATCATCTTGGATTTTGTAAATGGTCATCTCTTTCAAGACGTGATAGATTAGACTGGGGTATCAAACCCACCAATCCACATAATTCACTTCAAGCATGGAAGTATAGTAAATCTCAACAATGGTTTTACCTCAGCAAACAAAAGCAAGATGAAGTGTTTGTTTTCCTTCAACACGATAGTAAAGCAAAAGATCATCACGGTATCAATGTTCCACATGCTTCATTCAATTCTAAATCAGATCTTGGTCAATCACGTACAAGAATGAGTTTTGAGTCTAAGATCGTGGTAGTTTTTGAATCACCAACAAATGAAGGAAGATTTTCAAAACTTCATAAACAGATTGATTCATTTTTCAGCCAATTCAATTGAAACACATGAATTAGATCTCAAGAAGAAATCCTCAATATAATCTGAAGTTGTTGGATTTTGTGTTATGAAAACATCAATCATTTGAAAACCTATACGTCTTCACTCACTACCTGTCAAACTTGTGGTCTTCTCCCATTTGTCACATATATCATCTGCTACAATGTCAAATACAATTTATGTTTTCAGGATTGTAGCATGCAAAAGAACATAAGTCTTTCATTTAGATATGATTACAACCTCCTGATGTGAAACATAAATTGCAAAGTTCAAGAACAAAACAGGAGATCTCCACATCTATAAATACCCATAGCAAATATTAAGTACAATGAGTTATAGACATATGTGAATGGAGAAGCTCTTTAAGTATGTTCAGAACTGTTCAAAAGTAATAACCTTCAAAGGAATAAATGTCTTGATACTTCCAAAGATCTCAAGCTCTAGACTGTAATCAAATCAAGTGATAAGCTGTCTTTTCAAAGTCTTATCCTTCCAATTCAAAACTTCAATCAGTTATTGAAATCAGTAATAATCTAGATTCTACAAACTATGCCCAGGCATTGAATTTTAAGTACAGACTATGAGGTTGGTATTTAAGATACTGAAAAGATCCCTTGGTATGAAAGGAAAATGCAATCAAGTCAAGTTTTGTTCATCAGGCGTAAACTTCCCTAACTCTGACTCCTGAGAGAGCACCACAAGATCAATGGAATCTGCTAGCCTAACACAATAGTTGCTACATAGTTTGCTAGTCATTAGTGTTCCCGCATTTGTACATACAGGCACATACTACACACTTAAATTTGGATATGCCCGATTGGCATATCCAAATTCAGGAAATATCCCACTTGTCCAAGGTCCTCTGGGAGACAGTCCAAATCAACATCAACCACCATCTACACTTTGCCAAACACAAAGATGAACATGTTCAACATCTTCCGCCCCAAGCCCTTAACGGACCTACCGGGACAGATATCTCCAGAGCACTCTGACCATGCCCAACAGATGAGCACGCTTGAGCATTGGAATTGCAGTGATGAGGAAAACCATTCAACATTGACTCATCACACTATAACATCTTGGTTTTCCCCAGTGACTTCACCAGTGACTTGGCTCAGCAAATTGTTTTACCCAAATCACCCCAATACATTGACATTCCCAATGCCTACACATATACCCCATTATCCTGGTTTGACACCTATCAACCCGTATCAGCTGATACCCACACCACCACCCATCTTGTTGGAAGCAACCAACATCCAAACAGGCCTCATCTGTCCCTCTGATAATTGCATACACCAACCAACTCACTCAACCTTTTATTGCAGGCCTAAAAACTGAGATAGCCACCTTATTGGTGTCAGCCTGAGACCTAAAACAGGTGGCTTTATGAGAATCATAGCTGAATAGATGTGTGCTTGCAATTGGTATTGAGGCTTTGTTACAGTATCTTACTGAAGTAAATTCGAGCCTAGAAGGTGAAGGTTGGTATTATTCGCACAAGGAGTGCGAATAGATTAAGAACCTAGTACTCACAATTATATTTGGTGATATAATTTGTGGTCTTCTTCAGATGGGTACGTTAGTACACCTGTCTCAGGGTAGATCTACTTCTACTTGAATTGATAAGCGTAACTTTATCAAAATAAGATCTGTGAAGATGTTCGATGGAAGATTATAGATTCAAATGTGATCATTAGAACATTGAGACTTTATAGAATCAGAGCGATAAAACAATAACGGATTTTAAAAGAAACCACGGTATACATGAAAAGAAGAAAGGTATCAAAGATGCATTTCTAATTTAAAAGTGTTCGGCTGGGGTTGGTTGTAACAGGTTATAGAGTTTTACGGTCTAATGTTTTAAAGTGCGGTTTGGTGATAAGATGATTCTCTTTCTTGAAATGTGTAAAACTACTACTTATATATCATGGTGCATATCTCTTTGTGATATAACACGCAAGGGATTGATGCATGCTTTCATAAGGGTCCTTTTGTAACCAGTGCGATGTTACTTGTTCCTGATCCCTTAGTCACATTCTTGGAATGTAACTAGGCTCAAGGAAACCTTCTTTGAGATCAGGGTCTCCTGAACTTCGAGTATGTCATCATGAATTCTTTCAAGATGATGTACGTATGTATTGATATCATAACTATCAATGTTTACATAGGCTATGTTGTTGATGATACTTATGACTGCCAATGGGAGTATTACCAAGATACTCCTCATGGCTGACAATTGGCATCAAGGTGAGCATCAGGCTACTCAACATGATATCACAAAGCTTACTTACCCATACCATTCCATCCAGTGCAAGCGCTGCAGTGGTTATATACAATCTAATTTACATGCGAAATTTGAGGACAACATCAATTACATCAACAGCCAGATCAACTTACCAAATGGAGTCTCAGCATCACAAAACAACAGCGCCATGGATTTAAGCAAGATGCTAAACCAACCAAATGCCCCACTGTAAGGCTACACCTCACAATCACAGGTGTGACAGGTGTTCTCAGACTATATAGTAGATTCAATGTACAGAGTTGTTTGATCTTCTTTCTATCTTTCTCATCCTCTCTTCTGGGTTTCTTTTGAGATAGTCTTTTGTAGCATCTGGAGTTTCTTTGATCTGATGTTTAGTTGAGCTAGGCCTAGCTTTTGCAATACTATTTTGGGTTCTAGATACTCTTGGCTCCTCCACTTGTGCCTCTTGGTGTAGCTCTCTTTATAGGAGCTTCCACCCGCTTAATCCTCCTGCCAGCCAGGAGCAAGGTAGCTCTGAATCCACAGGGCTGGTTTGTCACGGCTTGAATGGAACTACTGCACCCGGTCACTCACAGCAAATCAACAAAGGATGCAGTGTCCTTTTATGCGTGAGTCACATAAGTTCTTTTTCTCAAATATGCGCTCTCTGATGAAATCAAATCATATGTATTCCATTTTCCTCAAGTGTTGTTTGAACCTTAACAACAACACAATCCCATGCTCAAAGCACAAGCACGACAACAAAGTTAAACATTCAAACAACAATAACAACCCAAAAGAACAACCTAACTATAAGGTTACACCTGTGGGCAACAGCCACAGCATGGGGAACTACAGCACAAGCACGCAACCCTCTCTTCCGCAAACTTCTAAGAAGTTTGCTCAAGGTATATATTTGGAAGATTTTTTGAGATTCTGCAGTCTTGCAATCAATTGAAAAGCTGAAGATTGCAAGCGATCTGAACATGACCAGAAATCTAACCACATGGTGACTTTGATTGTTTGGCCATGATCCACAGTGAGATCCTATGTTTGACTTCATTATTTCCCAATTATTTATGGTCTCTTTAACTGATACAACCAGGACAACCCATTTGGCTATTGGGCTGGCCGTTTCCATGCCCCACACTGGCCAACCTTTGCACTATCATATTTGGACGATGTGAAGCGCCTAGTTGGGCAACACCTTGGCGAGGATTGGCAAGGTGACTTGCAGGTTTGGAATGCAGATGAACAGCTCTGGGTAAGTCTCAGTATCTCCTTGGCCATATTTAGTTTGCTTCTTCACTTGATATGTAACTTTCAAATGGTATGTAGCTTCATCTAAGCATGCAAGCACCAGACCAATACCCTGGAAAGAGCTGGAAAGTACTTTTTGTATTCCCAAATGTCACTTCAAGAATTGTGGCTTGGTGTCAACATGCCGGGATTGGAAGGGGTTTGTCGCAAACGTTGAGGTGGACCAACTGAATATGTCTGGTTGGAAGGTGAGGCAGTGGATTTCCGAGATTGTGATGGCATCTTGACAACAGATAGAGGTACTTTGATCTTTAAAAAAAGAAAGGCTACACATTGGATAGAGATTGAATGTGTAGAAGCGTGTTGAATTGAGATTGAGATTGGGTGATTAAAAGAGATAATGGTCAAATGAAACTTATTATTATTAGTCAATGGAGGATAAAGAATTATGATTTGAGAATGATGTATAGAATTGAGGTTGAGAAAAAAAGAAATAAAGTTGAACACATGAAGTAGTGTGAGGATTGAGGTAATGGATAGAAGAGCTGGATCAGAATAACCTTCAATGTGAAGGCCTGAAACCCCTTTCAAGAGGGAAAGGGGGTCCTTTCAATTCATTTCAAAGCTGATTAAGGTGCTTGAGACGGAATGAGTGGCCAATTTGGGTGTCAGAGTCGTCATTATGGGAGGAATATTGATATTGGGGCGAGGCCAGGGGGAGAGGGGTTGGATTGTGTTGGGCTTGATTCTCAAAGGTCCATATCCTTTGGGTGTGGACCTGCATGTTACCTGTTGACACGCTTTGGAACGGGTAAGCAGGTCGGAGCGCAACTTGTGCAGCTGGTGGGGCCAGCTGCACAGCTGGAGTGCAGCAGGTAATAAAATGGTATTTTGGCTGCCTTTTCAGTGCAGCTCATATAAGCTGCAATTTGGGGCGGCCTGACGCTGTGTAGCAGCTGAAAGCGGCGGGCCTCAGCGCAACTGGTCCACCGTTGCTCAAACACGTGATCTACTTTACTTGATCTGCAGCTGGGTGGTGTACCGACTAAGTCTACTTCCAATTGTCAGACACTCTTTTTCACACTCATTGAGGTGCACTACCAACTGAACAGCTTTAATCAGGTCAGTGATTGCTTTGAGAAGCCTTCCTTTTATACCAGCCCTCATGCAGCTTTTATACAAAGCATAACGTGCTTCTACTCTATGGAATTTTCAATCCTCGGATACTATCTTTTAACACATTCAAGTAGTTCTGCTTGTTGTGATCTAGGACAATTCTGCTGATAAAACGCTCTTTCATCATCAGAGGGATGACTGAAGTGAATATCCCAACATCATAGAGCCACACAAAGAAGAAAGGGAATATAATTCAAACATAAGTATGATGTTGGTAGCCACGTAAACAATCATATAGGGAGAAGATGGATCCTACCTATACACTCAACACCTGCGTAAGGATGAATCATGGTCATATAAATACAATAAGCACTTTACTCAGGGTAATGCAGGCACTTGGCCCGGAGTTAGCCCGCAGGAAGCTCAAGCAGGCCTTGGGCAGCCCAGTCATTTTGAGCCTATTTTTTAAAAAAAAACCACACCGGTGCCGCAATTTGTACCACAATGCTCAAAGTTCTTCTCCGTACATAGATCAACATATATTTTGATATTCAAGCTACATACACCCCTTCCTTTTCAATAATCAAGTTTATTCCAATGGGCTCCAAAAAGCGGCATGCCAACACCAGCCCTAATTCCGAAAGCCACTCCCAAACTCAACAACCATGTCTCTTGTATTCAAAAGAAAGCACTCGAACATTAACTATTTCATCTGAAGAAGATTCTGATGACTCTAATCGTATAAAAGTTACTACAACATCAACTAGCTCCAACCAATCAAAGCTTACTAGTCAAATCAACTCCAACCCAGGTAACAAAACCTTGTGGGTGTGGAAATGTTTCAAGATCAAAACCGTTGTTGATCCAATCACCAACAAGGAAGAGAAGAGGACAGTTTGCACCTTCAAAGTTCAGCCTGAAAAGCCCTGCGGAAGCCATTATAAATTAGATTTAACTCAGAGCACCAAATCAATGAGTCGACATCTTGCAAAGCACGGTCTCAATGAAAAGTCACATATTGAAGAGGGAACAGTGGACATGAAGAAGTACCTCAAGGCAGGCAAAATAACTAAAGTAAGTACCACAAAGCTTACTACCTAGTTCTATTTTACCTCTGACACACTTTCCTGTGCTTCATGATAGAGTGAAAAGCTTTTGACTTCAACTTTCCGACCTGCAATCTTACGGCTGATTTTCAATCAAGAAATTCCATTATCTCTTGTCAAATCCGAGGAATTACAGGCTGCTTTTGAACTAGCAAATCCAACCATTCAGACCTTATTCTTTGGCCGTACTATCTTAAATGTCACTCTCAAGTCTCAATTTATCAAAGCCCAATGTTTACTTACTCATATTCTGACGGAAGTTCCTCACATCAGCTTTACCTGCAATAGCTGGAGTCAGCACAATAAATCAATTCTCAGAGTCACAGCTCACTGGGTTTCAAAAGATTACAAGCTATGTGAAGCAATTATTAAGATAATCGTGGGGTCACATACAGGAGAGAATCTATCTGAACATCTCATTGAAACTCTGAAAGAATACAAATTAGTTGATAAAATGTTCCGCCTCACTGCTGACAATGCCTCTAGATGTCAATGCTGTCATGGGACAAAAACTAGAATCTGTAGTCCCTCAATTTCACGCCAATAAACATCTCCTTGGCTGTATATGTAGCACATGTTCTCAATTTGGTTGCTAAAGCTGGCCTTCACATGTTCTCATAGAAGGTAGGTGACAAGACACCCTCTATCCCTCTCGCACTTGCTGCTTGGCTTCATCAAGATACGGCTTGAATTACCAGCACTCTCACTTGCCTCATTGGTTTCACCAATCACGTTGAAGCTTCTCCACAACGTGTGGAGTTGTTTGCACTCCTTGTTAAGGCTATGCTCCCACCAAAAGACCATGTCCAACTGATTTGTTGGGTTGATACTCGGTGGAACTCTGACTTTGAAGCCCATCAGAGATCTTTACAACTCAGAGTTGTGATTGCCTATTGCACAAAGAACAATATGGAATATGTGAAGTTTTCTCTTGCTGAGAGTGAATGGGACTTAGTTTCCCATCTTGTTGAATTTCTTTCACCTCTTGATGTTGGAACTAAGACACTATCAGGTTCCAAATACCCAACATTCTCTGAAGCTGCACCTGTTTATCAATGGATTTTGGAGAAGTTTGACAAGGTTTGTTTCCAGCCACTTTCACACAGTTTAGATCATATTTATAACATCTTGATGATCTGGTTTGCAGGCCTGGCAAGGAAATGCAAATGAATTGCTTTGAGCAGCTATTGGTCCTATGAAGATCGAGCTCGAGGAGTACCATCTTGCTGCGCTCCAGAAGCCCGTCTATCTATTTTCTAACATCCTTGACCCTCGAAGCAAGCTCCTTGAGCTATCAACATCAATGGTTCAAAAGGCTGGCCTGTACGACCGAGAGAGTTGCAATTCAAGTTTATCAGGGAGGCAGAAAAATATCAGCTACAACAGCCCGATCTAGTAACTGATGACCCTGAGCCTGAGGAAGAACCGGAAGAAGATGGCCCACGCCAATTCATCTCACACAAAAAGGATCTTGCAGTTGCCGAAGAGGTCAAGATGTATCTTTCCAGTGGATGTGAAGACAAAGACAGTAAACCTTTGGAATTTTGGGCAATCAATGCTGATAAATACCCTGTTCTTGCGCGCATGGCTGCAGCATACTTAGCTATTCCTGCTACGAGTGTACCCTCTGAACGATTGTTTTCTGCTGGTGGAAGAGTTTGGACAGATGAACGGGCCACTATGAATCCAATTAACTTTGAGGCATCAATCTGCCTCAAAAGCTGGGGTGTTCTCATGAATGTTTGGTATACTCGTTTGCTGTTCTTTCCAAAAAACTTTGTTATTCTCATTTTTTTCCAAAGTATTTCTAATTTATGTGCTCCTTCCACATGTCCCACTTCTTTGGTCCTCAAAAACTGCTTGTGTTGCTTTTTAGCTTGAGTTTTTTTTATGAAATTTCCATCCCTTCTTCATCCTTGGGCTACCGGGCCGGCCCGGCCCGATAGGGACACGCGATGCGCTCTCGGGCTACACTTGTTTTCGAGAGTTTTCGGGCTCGCCCCGGCCCGCCCGAAAAAAAACGGGCCGGGCGCCAGCCTTAACTCAGGATCCTTGGAGGATTGAGACCGCGCAAGTGGATGAACAGGTGGTCTTCAAAAGATTTGAAGAAATCCAAAAGTTCCCCAATGAGATTTTTCAACACCCAACATCCTCTTCCTCGTTTTCCCCATCTGCTGAGATTTGGCCTGAGGGGGATTTAAAGGGCGCACTTTCTTCAAATTGAAACGTGGATGCTCTTCACTCCCATCTTGTTGTATTGTACATCCTGATATCCACTCTTTTCGTCCAAAGCTAAGCTCAAGTGTGTAGTGACAACGCGCGTGGACAGCCGGTGATCCCACTGCAAGACCGACGGGTTATGTAAATGGTAGACTCAAAGGATCCCAAGCAAAGATCGGAACATATGATCGGTCCCCTGTTCCAAGTTATCAAGATTATGAAGCACACAATTGCGTAGAATTGAATCTGTGGCACTGAACAAAGGCATGGTGGGTCAAGACTCGGGGAGTTTGAGCTTTTGCATACACAGTTCAAGACGGACAAGAGCATGGGGTTAGAGCACGCGCGTGGGGACATGCCAAACCGAGAAAATCTTTGTACTTTTCGAGCTCATCGGCGATCATAGAGTGGTTTGTGAGGTGAGCTCCTGTAATGTTGGAAAGAACCGAGACTGCATATTTGCGATACCGGAAGAGCACCGCCGGCCTGTGGGCATTTACAGTCAATTCCACAACGTTGGGAAAGGCTTTGGCGGCAATTTGCTTGAGTTTTGCGGGTAAATTTCGTCAGGCTTTTGGACGTTCAAATTCCAGCAGGCGGCTTGGTAACTTGTGCTGATACTTGTGAGTCACTTCCTCTCACTTCAGTTCGCTGTACCGTACTATAGGCGTCTTGATGTCTAGCATTCCCACTAGAAAAAGTCAGACAATGATTGAGAATTTCCATGAAATTCATCATCCACCGACGGCATTTACGTTAGCAGACACACGCGTCAATATCAACACTAAATGAAACATGCTTTGAAAAGCTTGTATGCACTCTATATGGCAATGATAAGACCTCATGAGACCCGCTCACCCGAGCCAATTGGGGGTTTTGAATTTTGTTGATTCATGAACTCAGAAGCCGCTCGAATGTCCACCCCGGCAAGCAACTGAGAAAAGCAGCTTCATCATAAACACTCGTTGCAATTACAAAGATATAGCATTGGCCCTACGTATGTAGCAAGATGAATGGGCACAAATCTGACAAGATGTTGAGCGAGATGAAAGATCGGATCACTATATGTAATAGCAGACTCAGACTTTAAATTACCTGTCATTTAGACCCTTCTATTTTAACGTCCTCATCCGCTTTGTGACCTACACCTAGGCAACCGAAACAAGATAGTTAGATACCGATCACAAATGGATTAGGTTCCTCTTGTCATACAAAATCGAGGCTTGATATCAAGGGCCACCAGTGACGGTCTCCTGGGCAATTTCGCTTAAGCGAAACTTGAGAACATTTCGGAGCTAAACGAAAGTTAATCTCACATATGCAACTGCTTAAGGAATGACTGCCAGGGGTAAATGAACGGCAATTATCTAAAGACGATCCATGAACCGAGCAAGTCATTTAGACTCTCGCTTCGGTGTTGGAAAAATTACCTGGATGTACAAATAACCTCACTGCTCACTGCGCCACGACGTTGGAACGTGATGGTGGATGTATCTCAGAGTCTGCCAATGGTATATCGAGATTGCCATGATATCTTGATGTGTATTTGTTGACTTTAAGCACTGTTCTTGTCAAGTCATATGATCCTTTATGGTACTCTGCGTTTCTATCACCAAGCCTCGATCATTCATTGCGTGTAGCCGTGTTTCTGAACAGGAGCTGAGCTGAACTGAGACTTATCGCAGTCGAAACCCACCACTTCCTATGTGTATCAATCCTCAGCAGCGGCTTGGAATTGCGTCTGAAGATACTCTGACCCTAAGCTTAACTAAGCCCCGCCTCCGAAGCGGCCACGTCCGCTCTCGAATGTGGCAATTGGATGATGGATCACATTCACACCAAAAACTCTCGCAATTTTTCCAAGACTACGTACCGAAACTTTGAATTCTAGATCTCAAGTCTTTATTTGGCTATCGGCGAACACCGCCGGAGTTCGGACATAACTGGATATCTCATCTTGGGAATTGTGCCTTGCATGCGCGTCCCGAACACCCAATAGTGAGCCCATTTACAGGAACCGTACGAGATCTTCTCAAGGTCTTTTCTGCGAAGTGATGTCTCTGCAAGCAGTCTCAGCATGAAGCAGATATAGCACTATGAGACCCTTTAATTCTGTCTTCCATACACCCCGGTTGTCTTTCATCTGATGTTCTCCCCTACAGATCTCCAGGATATTAATTGACTTGGCGCATGCAAAGCCATGTCTGTCTGGATCAAACTATTTCTGCGATCAGCCTACATTCCTCCGATAATTGAAGTCGAGGCAATGAGACGATTTGCTAACGTATGAAGTAGATCCTCACCTGAGGCTGATGTGATTCATCATTGGCTCAAATTCAATGCATTAGGCTATTTCCAAAAAGCAGGACTAGACAAGTATGTAAGTACAACAACTCAGAAACCATAAGCTTTGACCACCGGAGATTTTCTCTCGGTGGTACCAAGGGTTTGACGCAATTGTTTTGATGATTCATAGAACTCTTTGCGCTTCAACTCCACCGTAAGTTGACCTCATATGTTACATAGTACGATTATTACCTTTTTATTAAACAGTAAAAGGACGATGATCGAATTTCGGGAGTTAGATATCGCAGTATGAGGGTATCGTTTTGTTTGTTTGTCGATCTATATTACGCGCCTACCGCTTCCCTGTCCCTGCGTTGCCCCACCCTGTTCCCCCTTGGACACTCACTATGTCTACAATATTAGACACACCCCAACACTACTGAGTGGTTCCGGGTTCTCTGCGGGGACTTGATAGTCATCACCATTACCAACTCGAAGATTCCGTAGAGGCCAATATTCATACATTAATCCGTTGTGTGGGCTTGTTGATTGATGATGCAATAAGGGATCTGCCGATTATGATACTGTACGTAGTCTGTCATGATGATGGAGAATCTCGAAAGGGCGGGGCGAGTCTTTGATTTGGGGTTGACCTCCCGTCCCGGAGAACTCACTTAAAGTATAAATTGAAAGGGGGTGTTCTGAGTCTGACAACCACACTTACTTGGACTCCTACCTCCATATAAGTTCCTGGTTGGCCACCGCTCTGCTTCTATTCTTGTGTTTCTTCATCTCTTCCTTCAGAAGAAAAGACATCGACGGGAAGCGTTCTCCTCCTTTCTATCATCCCCATATCTCCTGGATTTGTCTTTTTGCAAGAGCTCCTGTGGCTTCGCTCATCATTATTTCAAGATAAGAACTGTTATAAACCACTTTAGCGTTTCTCCATTTCCGTACCTTTTTGAATAGCTTTAGTTCCTTATCAATCCCCAAGACTCGTATAGCAATGGCTTCTCACCAAGATTCAAGCGTTCAACACCGAAGATCCTCCGCAGACAAAGTGCGCGACCTAGAAGGTAACCGCGGGACCGATCAATATGATTATCAATCGAACACGCCTGGCATGTCTGTTATGCCTGCGCTAGACTCTCGTTTCCCAGACGTCCAAGCCCGCCGAAAGGAAACTGGGATATCGAGGTTCCGTAGCCAAACACGTGAATTCTGGGCGTAAGTTCTGTAGTTCTTGATTGATTCCCATAATCGGTTGTGCTGATCCCTTGGGTTTAGGGAGTTCTTTGGGACTGCCGTGTTGGTTCTTTTCGGTTAGTGACTCCATTGTATTCTCCTTCCTTCGGAAATTTTTGAGCTCACCAACGTCACTCATGATGAATAATCTAGGTACGGCCGTCAATCATCAAGTCACTCTTGGTGGATCTACCAGTGTTGCCCCAGGTGAGAGAGGTAGTTGGACTACCGTATCGGTGAGTTCATCCTTGAAAAAATATGCTCAGTCTCCATATGTCTAACAGATCCTTCGTCTTTCCTCAGTTCGGATGGGGAGTAGCTGTGTAGGTGAAATAGAACTCGTTTGAGTTACGGCGGAAGAGCGTTGACGTTTTATGGTGCTCGTTGTTAGTATGCTCGGTGTGGTTGTATCTGGAGGTATCAGTGGAGGACACGTAAGTACTCGTTTTTTTAGTTGATTGAAGATGCGCTACGTGCCATCTCTTCCATTTCCTGCATGGAATCACTCATTTGATTACTTCTATAGATCAACCCGGCTGTCACTCTGACTTTAGCATTATTGCGGGGATTCTCTTGGAAAAAAGTGTAAGATGTCTTCCAATGATCTCATCCAGAAGAACGCTTGTTCACCGACCAATATCGTGTGTAGACCTCTTTACTGGTTGGCCCAATTCACTGGCGCATTCTTTGGAGCAGGGTACGCAATTTATCTCTAGATTTCAACAGAGCTTCAGCATCATGTTCTAACGTGTACATCACCAATCTAGACTCACGTGTGAGCAGTATACAATATGCTATCTGCAAATAGCACTCGTATACTGATTTTGGAATGACCTGGTTCAAGACTTGAATTATTCCCGCGCCATCTCTTTGTTCGAGGGAGGAGCCCACATACGGACGATTAATAAAACCGGAGGCCTGTACTTCACGAGTAAGTCTCAATCATGCGTCATAAGTCTATCTACCGCAAAGCTTACCAAAACGCTTCCTAATTTTCAGACCCGTGAGCTCTCACAATTGATGTCTGATTTTGAGATTATATAGTTTATCTAATTTGATACAACCGCTATAGTCTTCCATATATGTCTAACCTCGGATGTTTTTTCAACGAATTCTTGATGACTGCGATATTGATGATGTTTATGTGAGTACATAGATGGTCAGCGTCGATTGAGAAAAAATGCTGACATGAACAACGATTGCCAGTGTTGCTACCGGAGATGCTGGTAACATGGCGCCACCAAAAGGAATCAGTCCCTTTATCATACTTTGGGTGGTCTTCGCTCTGGCGTCTACTCTGTGAGTTCAAAAATTGGAACAATGTTGCTCATTACATTAACTAACCACCATATTTCCAAACAGGGGAATGCAGGTGAGTATTGAGTTGAAGCTTACTCGGAGTTCGGTACCAACCCCAAGCTTACGAGTTCGATTATGATTAGACCTCCTTCGCTTTGAACCCCGCTAGGTGAGTTCTCCCTCTCTTTCTATCTAGTGACCCACTCCTTCTATTCAGAATGTTGAACTAAATGTTTTTACATCTAGGGATATCGGACCCAGACTAGTTACTTGGGCCGCCGGGTATGGGAGTGAGGTTTGGCGAATCAGATCAGGGTACGTGTGGGATGTTTTGCAAGTGTGGTGGATATGCTAACTGCGATAATCGCCTTCCGCTTTATTTAGATACTGGTTCTGGTGTGCAACTTTGGCGCCCGTGTGGTAAGTCTTTTCTAGCATATCGGGCTTGGTCACAGTCGGATGAAAGTTGATATTTGTTTCTTCCGACAGCGGAACTTTCGTTGGTTGCTTCATCTACGATTGCTGCATTGGAACCGATGGTGTCGAGAGCCCTTTGCATAACCCTAACGCTTCCGGATTCATTCGACGTCTCCGAGGACTCCCCCCCGCTCATGAGACTCATCTAGGTACCAGTAGTTCTGGTAACATCAAGCATGCTGACGAAAGTGATTGAGAAGACTCCCTAACCCCCATATGTGTTTTTTTTTGGTTTTTGTTGACCTCGCTTTACCCTGTATTTGTGATATCACTTCAGAAGAATCTTGATTGGTATTAAAAAAATAATATCAAGGCCATAGTCTCGGATTTCTACAAATCGTTTAAATTTCTTTTCTTTTTAGTTTCCACCTGAAATCTGTAATCGCTTCGTTATACTCGTTTAGTCGAGACGGGACTCATCGACAACCAAAAATTTAGTAGGCTAGATGAAAACCGATATCGACCGTCTCCAGCGAGACCTTAATAGTCAAGATTTTGTGATCTTTTGAAATGAATTTTGTGCAGACATGAAAATGAGCGAAGAAGCCGCTCGAAGCAGAGTGAAGGATGAGTGCTCGTGTCCAAATCTTCAAGCATGCGCAAGCGGGTCTCCCGAAACCCACCAAAGTGCACACGCATGCACTCGTGATGATTCGAGTATGACATCACCGTGAAAGCCAAATGCGCAGTACCTTGTTTTTGCTTGCCTTGCCTGTCCTCGAAAAGACTTGATGAGACACCACTTGATCGACACAAGTGCTGTTGATTGAGCAAAATCATCTCAACGCACTTTGAACATTGTACATACATTTCCCAGGTTAGCGTTCGCGCTTTTGCTGGATGGCTGTTGTGAAGACTGTCATTCTCTTCAACTTGAGCCTGGATCTTGTTGAGTGCCTTCCGCAATCCTGCAACCTCTCGGGCCCAAGTGGAATGGGTATCTTGGCGTTTGGATACTCTGTTGTATCTGGTTCACGCTAAACAGCCGCAGAGGGCAGGCTTGATTAATCATGTGGAACAAGCCTGAACTGAAATAGACACACAAATGAAGCGAGAGACTATGTAAAGTGAAATGAGAGCGAGTTCTGTGGGTGGCTTGTGTGTCTGATGCTCCTACCTCTGTTTGATAACTACATTGTAATAAAATAGAAATTAGGGGGTCTCAAGTTAGATTTTTTTGCGAAATGTTTTAAACCAGAACACTCACAAACATAAGAAACATAACGTATTAGTTAGGTGTGGCTGAAAGCCCCTTGGTACACAAACCAAGAGACGATAAATTTCATCATTCCTAACCTAACACCCCACGGGGTGGCTAGCGGACACATAAGTTAAAACAATCACACTAAGATGATAACCTTTTAACAAAATGTGAAATGAGTTTTGAACCTAATATGGAATAACTGTAGCGAACTCTTTAAAGTAGTAACCACAAATTATCCTGGATAAATATCTTGAATAAAAGAATACTTGAACAATACACAATTTTAATAATAAACGCCTAAAGAAATAAACTCCTGAACCAATAAACTCCTGAACCAAATAAAAAATAAGGGAGGAGAGGGTGGGTAGAAAAATTTATCTTTGAATGATAAGAAAGATGTTTGCGAGTGAGATGTTAAAGAAAAGATGTTATCAAAAGGAACGGTAAAGAAGAAGTGGTAAACGGGAAATGACGTCAATCAAAAACCAACTTCAATATGATAAAATCCAACCCGTCAGATAACATGTAATGTAAATAGCCCTGTTGTTTTAACATTCCTATCTGTTAATAACAAGTGACCAACTTCAAGAAATGTTTTAAACCAGAACACTCACAAACATAAGAAACATAACGTATTAGTTAGGTGTGGCTAAAAGCCCCTTGGTACACAAACCAAGAGACGATAAATTTCATCATTCCTAACCTAACACCCCCTCCGACCCGCCTATAGAAAAGCGTAAAGTCAAGAGTGGTGAAGTAGGGAGGAGAATAGAAAGATACCGCAATGAAATTTAAAACAATACGTCAGGTTCCGAAAGAAACATCTTGCAAAATTTTTATAATATACGTGGTCAAAATCATGAAAGCCAACCAACAAAATACTAAAAACTTACTATACAAAAACGACATTTGCACCCACGTGAGAATCATGACCAACAATATGATTTTGTGCTTCCGGTAAACGGAGAGCTGCATGACCATGTATGTAAATTAAAAACGCTTCTGAAGACCAGCGCCCAGCGCTTTTGATGTAGTCTAGAGAAAAACCGGACTGAGCCAAGGTAGTAGCGCCTCCAGATTGTAATGAATGTCCTGAAAAAGTTTTATCGAAAAACTTGTGAAATCTCTTGAGGAACCAAGATCGTGATGGAGATATACCTTCAGACGTTAAAAATAAAGCTGGTAATGAAACAAACAGTTCATCTCGAGATCTCAAATAAGATTTTAATAAAGTTACTGGACAGGCGATTGAATTATCAAAATGTTGAATAATAACCGGAGCTCCTAAAAATGTCTTGTTGCCTTTTGAATAAGGTAATGAATATTGAAAATAACAAAAACATGTTGAGAATTTCAAAGACGCTCAAGTAACTATTTTCCTAACATCATAAAGCTTGGAAGAATCAGGAATTGTAAGCTCTCCTAAACGGTGCAATCCTCCAAATCCTACCCCTAAAATTGCTAAGAAAAGACGATTGTCATGAGATGAAGAAGATTGTGAAACCACTGATTCAATTTGAGATACTGTTAATGGTTTCTTCCTGTTGACCGGTTTTGAAAACCCATTAATACAACCCTTCATAACTTCCTTCACTAAAACCGAATCCGTTTCACAAATCAAGGATGGGAACTTAATCTTGAAATTATACTTGATGCCCGTTAGATAAATCATGACTGAACGTGGAAATATTAAACGACTGAGATAAGAAATGTACCAAGTCAAAGTCTTCTCATCTGTGTAAAACGGAGTACTGAATAATTCACAAAACTTAAAGAAACTTCTAAAGCCTGACTTGTACTTAGCCTTTGTTGAAAGAGACATTGATGATAAACGGTCCTTAATAGATAGCGATTTTAAATCATTTAAACTAATAACTTTAATATGTTTCTTCTTCTTCATTTTAATTTCCTTTTTCTTAATCGGAACTAACATGATCTAAGAGAATTCTTTGCTGCTGTGATATTAGAATCTTTCCCACCGTTCGATAAAGATAAAGGAATGTTCAGAGGAGTGATACTAGCTGCCTGATAGTCCTTAAAAACTGTCAAAAATTGTGATTTAGACAAAGCGTCAGCACACTGGTTTAGTTCTCTAGGAATAAATCCCACTTTGATCTCAGCCTTAGCTTCGATCAGTCGAGAAATACAATGGCGAAATAGAGGACGGCAGATAATATTTGGGTTGTGACAGTTGAATAGGTGGAATGAAATATTAGAATTGGTGTGAATGAAAATCTTTTTCCGACCTTTATCAATTGCCAAGTCGATCGCGCAGACGATTCCTAGTAATTCAGCCCAGAAAATATTTCTGGAAGGGAGGGGAAGTTTGAAATAGAAACCTGATTTTGGAATCGGCTCCCATATACCAATCCCTGTAGGACATGCATCGCTAAAGAAAATCGCATCTGCCTCCGCGATTGACCATTTGATAGCTTCCAACATCCTAACACCGTCACAACCGTTGAAGTAGTTGATGAGCCATCTGAGATCGGCCTGATTTTCCTTGTTGAGATAGATCGGTAGAAAAAGGTTCCGATTTTCCACCCGTTTTCTCGTAAAGACTCTGTAATGCAAATCACCCAAATGGCATTGAGTTACAACCCCAATTTACCCAACCCTCCAATGATTGCCAAGCCCTTAACGGTTGCTTAGGTCTAGAAACAAAATCTTTAATAGCTTCGATCATTAACTGTTTTTTATCAGGAGCCAGGTAAATCAACATTTTTTCGGTGTCTACGACATAACCAATTACCTCTAAAACAGGACCATGCAACTGTTTTTTCCATACCCATGGAAATCCTAATATGTCGAATATCATCAATAATTTGGCCTGCATAGAAGGAATCCGATGTTCTTTAAAGGTCACAAAATCGTTTGCTGGTGCGACTGACCACACGTCGTCCATCATGTTGTTCAACATTTTGATGTTAAAGACTTCCTCCGCTATCCAAAGGACTAATGAAAATACACCACACCAAATGTGTGGACTTGCTGATGATCCAAAAGTTAAATTATGATCAGCTCTGAACTTTTTCTTGATCTTCAAAATTTGACGAATCTGGTACTGAAGATGGAGTGGAATGATTCGAAAAGCTCCCTCTATATCTGATTTAAAGATGACTACGTCCTTGTGCTTCTTCTTCATTTCGATTAAATAAGGCGCAAATAATCTTAAAGAATCGTATGAAACAGCAATGTCGTTTCTATCAATCAAATCATTAGGTGAAGGTCTGCCAAAGCTCATCTTTGAGCAGACTCTCATCTATATACTTAAAGAAATGTTCTTCCCGACCATCCCCATGCCTCAGCCTTCATTACACTCTCCATGGCCCTTTCCCTATACAAATCCCTCTACGGCCTATACCAGACCCTTTGCCAATCCCTTTGCCTCAGCTTTCATTACGCTCTCCTTGGCTTTTTTCCTATACAAGCCTCTCCCCAACCTATACTAGACCCTTTACCAGGCCACAAGGACCTATTCCCCAGCTACACATGACAACACGGTCTCAAGTCTCTTTGTTTCTTTCCAATCACTTGAGCACTTCAATACCGCTCTCAAAGCATATCACACCAAGCTCGGCTTCAATAATTTCATTGCAAAAAACGGCTTTACCGGAAAGCTTTTTACTACTCTTTTTTAGATCATCACCGTTGCCCATCTTCAACGGGCTTCTGCTCTCTCTTTTTCTCTTTTTCTCTTTCTATCTGTCTATCTCTCCATCCCCCTGTTATTGTATCCTTTTCTCAGAAAGTTCAAGGAAGACTCTCTTTCTCTGATTCTTATTTCCGTTTGTCATTTTGTCGGTGCTTTCCATATCAAATTTTTCCTGGTGCCTTGGGATTCTATTTTTCATTGTCTTTTGGACCGGTCATATAGCCCAAAGCTTCTTCTTTGTTATGAAGAAACACATCCCGACATTCCCTCTCTTTCATCATCCCCCCGACCGGACTTATACTCACCCAAATCATTTACTTATTTCTTGTTTACGGTTGAATTTGCTTTCATCGTGTCGCCTCACCCTTGAGGACAATATCCGTGTCTTAGTCTTAGTCTTTCAAAAACAATGTCATGTCAAACGCTGAAACGCTTAAATGCCCTTTTTATACTTTTGATTATCACAACACATCTCATCAGAATTTATTCATCATGGAATTTAATGACCAACAAAACAAAAATACTATCTCTTTGGACAACTTTCTTGTCTCTATTAACCTGGACGACTCGCACGATGATTTTGATTATGCTGGACACTGGGCTTCCGAATCAAATCCATTTGGATCAAGAGTTGTGGATCATCCGATCCAACGTACGCCAGACTCGGCCGATAGCTTCTTCTCTGCAAATTGACATGTTGATGTTAGTAATTACAAGGCTATGGTTATGATTGACCTACCATTATACCAACCGGGTAATTCGTGATGATCTACCAATTTCTTTGGGTCTTTGGTCAAAATGATGAGTGAACCTCTCGCATCGAATCCGTTTGAATCAGAAGCATACCTTGATCTCTTAAGATCAACCCCACCACAAGAATGGACATTTCCAGAACAAGCTCAATTAGCTGCAATCCGATTCCGATTCAAATCACAATCTGCACCTGTTCAATATGCCACCTCATTAGCCACTTCATTAAGAAAACCATGTCCACGTGAATCAATTCTATCAAGTTCATATCTAACCAACAAATTCGATCCAAAATTGATTCAAGATACCATGAATTTATTAAAACCTGAACATTGTAGAATTGTGATTGGATCACAATCAGGTGAATTTGAAAATCGAATCAAATTAAGTTCAATCGAACCGTGGTATTCTACACCTTATTGTATACAAGACTTTCCTAAAATCGAACGTACGTCAGACTTGCCCAATAGCGTTTTCTCTGCAAATTCACATCTTGACTTTAGTAACTAAAAGGCTAGGGTTATGATTAACCAACCATTATAAATACCAACCGGGCATTGGGTGATGATCTACCTAATTTGTTTAGTGAAATGATGAGTGAACCTGCTCTAGCTTTGGAGCCATCAATGGTTGGTAATGAGGGAAATAATACTGATTACCAATGATTCACCGACTGGATTTAGTATTCAGGCATTTATTGAGAATTCGACTGTTCAACTTTTGAAATCAAGGTCTTAGTCAAGTGGAAGTGGTAAGATCTTATATCTTTTCACTCTTGGTATTAATGATTACAGGAAAGACTACTAGCAAGCCTATGCTATTGTTTCTCCCAGGCTAAAGACATCTCATTATTGAGAAGATCATTGAAACCACTTAACTTTGCCCAATTGAAACTGTCTAACCTTGCCTTGGCTTTATAGGTTGACAAAATGTAGAGACAGACATAGTGCTGATTCTTGCAAATATCATGAGTGTGGTTTCAGTAAGGTGTTGGGTTTCATTTTTGAACCCTATATTCTTGGTAAAATCCGCCATTGCTTTGTACTTACCAATGAGTGTCTTTCAATTCCACAAACTTCCTGATACCATGGTCCAGAACAAGTCCCTTTCCGGGACTTCAACACAATCAAGTGGTCAAAAAGATTAGCTTTGTTTGTTACAGTCAATGGACTCTGAGAATTCGGATTTGGATCACTTACGTACAGAAGCAATAAAAAGATCATGGGGTTGAAACTTCAATTAAGGCAATACCGCAATCGCTCCGCGCTTTTTTTCAATTGCAGAGCAATTGCGGAGCGGTTTCAGGCTGCGCGATGGCCCCGCCATATGTAGCGGGGCCTGCGCTCCGCACCTTGACGTTGGGAAAAACCCATAGCGGAGTGAGCGCTCCGCACTGGGCCGGGGCCAGGGCTTCTCTGCTATATTGCGGAGAAATACCCTGTACCCAGAGCTACCAGATTGGTGTACGATGTACACCAGTACCCCACCGACTTATCCCTTTGGCGTCTCAACTTCAGTACCATCCCATGAACCATTCAATTGAATCCCACCATTCGACATTCAGTTCCAACCAGAATCAATTACAATCGCTAGCCCCAGCAACTCGATGTTTTTTGCAAGGCTCACCTGTGGTTCAGGTAACCAAGCTACATTTATAAGGTGAGTCAAGTGAACCCCGTTTGTCAATTTCCTTCCGAGATAAATCTAACAATCTCCTCTTTTGATATTTTTTGAATAACTTTTTTAAAGTTATATTACTAGCTCCATGGTATCCTCCAAAAGCTCATCGCAGTCGTCACTTCAGGTTCCGGGTAAAGATTCCACTGTACCTTCATCCAGTCGAACCCTGCGTCCACCAAGCCCTATTCGCCCGCAACCAGGTTTTGTGATTACCCCAAAAGACTCGCGTTCCGCCGTTGTTTCATCACTGACACCTCGAGTCAAATCGACCAATACCGAGGTTCAAGTTGTTGGAAGTGCATCACCTCGACCTGCAGATACTGTGAACAAGAAGTCGAAGGATCATGGACCAGCAACAGCGAAACCGAAGGCACTAGCAAAGCCTAAAGCAAAGCCAAGTGTGAAAGGCAAAGTAAGTTTGTGAAATGATCAGTATGTTTAAGAACTAAACATACCAATCAAGTGTATCTAACTCTTTTCTGCTTATTTTCCTAGTCTCGTTCTTCAACTAGTAAGCGCGCCAGGTCGCCGTCTGGAAGTTCGACAGGATCCTCGCCCCGAAAAGGCAAGAAAGCCAATTATAATGTAAGCTAATCATTTCTTTCCATCATTCGTTTATTTGTATGACTAAAGTCTTTTTGTTTGTCAAACTTAGGCGTTTGAGATTCCTGATGGTGCCGACCTAGATCAAGATTCCGACATCGAGTTTGTTGGTTCCAATGAGCCTGGTTACAACATGACTCGATCAAGCAATGTTGCACAGCTTCTTGAGTACTACGGCCCAGCTGATGTAAGTTTTTCGTCTTCATCATCTCAGCTATTCCTCTTTTTACATGATTATCACTAACTTGAAGGTTGACTTCACTACTTACCACTGTAGGGCCTCAAACACCAGTGTCTATGGTGTAAAGGTTACTATCTACGCGGAGATTGATCTTATTGGGGCTTGTGGGGACACCGCGACGGCAAGTTGGGACGACCATCTTGCAAGCAACGACACAAAGCCATCGCGGCCGGGGTGATTCTTCCACCTAGCTACAAAGATTTACAAAAACAAAATAAATCAAACCCCAAAGGAACGTTGACTGGCTATCTCAGTGGACCCACTTTCACACCCGATCTCTTGAATATGATATTGGTCATATGGATAGTTCGGCACGTGCTTCCCTGGGCTCGTTTTGAAGACTTACCGCTTCGTGGAGCTTTTTATGTTGTCAATCGAGGTGCTGTGATTAGATCAAGAACCTGGGCAGCCCAGCAGTCGGTCAAGCTATTTGCAGCTTTGCATGACAAAGCCATTAACATGGTCAAAGTGAGTTCCACTTTCTTTACTCGCATTTCAACTACTCCCCTTTCTATCTTCTTTTCTATCATACCTTATTCTGATTACGTACTAACCACATCTAACTTCAAATACACTTAGAACAATACAGGTAAATTCTGTTTAATCCATGATGTCTGGACAACTAAAGGAAATCGGTATGCTTTTGTTGGAGCAACTGCCAATTATATTGATGACAATTGGGAATACCGCTCTACACATCTCACCCTCAAGATGGTCGCGTGGCGTCACTTTGGAGCCCTCTTAGCCCGACCAATAGGGCAGTTCTTGATTCGCCATGGATTACATAAAAAGATATGTACCTTTCACGTTCTTATATTTTCTAGTTGACCTGTTTACCTTTATTCATGTTTACTTATTATACATGGTTTCCTTATTACATGCTTGCTCAGTCAACAGACAGTGGCGGTAACAATGTGCCGATGGCTGCTGAACTTTCGTCAATCACTGCAGACATTATTCGGGTTCCCCAAGTGGGCAGGGAAAAATGATTGGGAGTATGATTTTTCATAAAATGGTCTATCACTCCACACCTGAGCCATAACACCCACACTACATATGTGTAGCAGGCTCAGTGAATATGTGGTTATCATGTACATACAGTTCTGCTCAGTTATCTGCTCATCAGGACAAGTTATTCATATGTAATACATGCTGTAACTTCTTTCAGATTGAAAAAAGCTTCCAAAAGATTGACTACATACACTGACTCAATGTTTTGGTGTGATCTCATCAACTCAACTGCATGTAACACACTTTCTGTTACTAAGACATAGCTTCAACAATATTGCCTGAGCAGCTACAGAATTATATGTAGTGAATTTTTGGGAAAAAAAATTCAAAGTCAAAAAAGTTACATGTGGTATAACATGTGATTTATTTATTCTGATGGGCAAAAAACTGAGCAGACCTGTATGTACATAATAGACAACTATTGACTTAGCTTGCTGCACATATGTAGTGTGGGTGAAATGGCCCAGGTGTGCAGTATTAGATTCTTTTATGAAAAACTGTACTATTAATCATTTTCCTCTGCCAAATTGGGGAAGTTGAATGATGTTTACAGTGAATGTTTTCAAGCGCAGAAGATCCAGTTTTTTGGGATGGGTCATCACATCATATTCGATGTCATGCCCATAAGCTTAACCTGACTGTTGGACATGGCCTTAAAGTCCTTGGTCAGAAGGTATGTTATTCCAAACCGACCAAACCAGACAAGATTCCCCTCCCGATTCCAGCTCTAGAGGTCAACGACGGGGAGGATGATATTCAAATTGATGATCCCGAATCTGAAGAAGAGAATGATGACGACTTACCTGCTACACCCAATGGTGTCGATGACGATGACGGTGAGGACGGAATCGATGTTGCTTCTGGCAAGGACGATCCTGTGGCTGTTGCTCTTGAGAAGGTATGTACTGGAATTCATGGTATACAATGTCTTATCTCTCATGTGTATATACTGATGATGATGTCTTGCTTTAGGTTGACAAGGTAATTGGGCAAATTGCTAGTAGTGCAGCCCGGCGTTGTGATTTCAAGCATCGATCTACTCGTATGGGTTACACGGGACGTATGCTCAAACGCCCGTGCAAAACCCGGTGGAATAGTCATTATGAGAGCCGGAAAGTTGCTTGTGAAGCACAAGAGGCAAGTTATCTATCACTTTTGATACTATCGTTTTTCTCATAATTTCTTAATTAATCTCTTTTCATTTCTTCACAGGTAATAAACTCCATGCTTGCCGCAGACCGAAAGGCATGTTTTTTCAAGGGAGTCACTATTTCCCCCGATGAATGGCACTCAATCGAGCTGGTTAACAAGGTACTGAAAGTGAGTTTATTTCCTCTTCTTTCAGCTTCGTATATTGAATGAGATACAATTAACATTTCATTCTTTTTGGTAGACCTTTGTGGATGCTACCGCACGTGTTGAAGGCAATGGTCCTACTGGGGCCATTGTTCTAGCCGAATATAAGCAAGTTATCACTGAGCTTAAAGCTCATCAAGCGGAATCAACAGAGTTTCAAAGCATCGACAACGCCATCGATGAGATGATCAAATGGCTTACAAAGTATCAGGAAGAAGCACTTGGATGCGAAGCTATCACTCTGGCTACTGTTCTTAATCCCCGTTTTCGAGGCAAGTTTTTTACAGTGCACTATCCCAAATACGAAGTATCAGCCCTTTCAGCAATTGAGCGAGCCTTCAGTAACCTTGTGGACCAATCTGAAATACGTCAAGCAACCCCACCACATGACCAAGACAATATCACTGCCCACACCAATGAATTTGATGTCTTTGGCCCATCTGATGGAGATCCAAAAAAGATTGCTACCTCGGAGCTAGAGGAATATCTTCAAGGTTGTTTCCCACAACTTGCGAAAGATCAGAACCCGCTTGGCTGGTGGAAGGCATGTTTTTTTCTTTTTGCTATGTTCATTCTAGATGACTGACGTGTCTGATAATTCACAGGAACACGAACATCACTTTCCAATCTTGGCA